TGGTGCAGATAAATATATTAATTTATCTGAACTTTCAGTTCCTTTTTACTTCTCTGTGTATTAGCCTGCAATACAACCTTAGTCCTCACAGATGATCTATGATAACTTGCCTTGGAATTTTTCTTGTAACAATGAATATCTAGGAGTAGCATTAAGCTAGCAGCACAACCATTTTTATTTTCAAATAGCCTGTCACACTGTATTTAATAAATAATCACCATATACCATCAGCATCTACTTACAAACAATAAGCATTCATGGCCTAGATAAGTATAAACCTAAATCTGTAGTACTGCAATACTGGAATCTACTGTGATACTGCTTCTTGAGTATCTCCTCCCTCAGTCCTCAAAAATGCCACTTCTGTAGCCAGTGCTTATTAATTCAGGACAATAGAGCACAATCTTTTTTTAGTTTGTTTTTTTTTGTATTTACAAACACAAAAAAAAAACCCTTAAGTCCTCCCTCTCTCTCCTCCCTCCCAAAAAATAGTAGGCTTCTCAAACATCAAGAAAAAACTACAAACTGCTTGAGAAACTATGCCACTTTTAAGAAGTCTTAACATCCAAAACTTAGATCCTTCTCTCCAAATACAGCTTGGTAAAATAGTAATAAAAGACAGTCTAAATTATGCACAAGGTAAACTTCAGAACCAACAGTTGAATCTGGATGGGTACAGTCGGAATGTGTCAAGCTGTTAAAATGACACAAGTCTGCTGATAGCAACAAGTAAATTAATATGGAGAAAACACTTATATAACACAAAAATCCTATACATTTGAAGAAACTATAAAGTCCTATTAATGACAAGAGAACAGGGAAAAAACCCACCATTATTCTTCTGGTTTCAGAGGTAGTAAAGGAGCATGCCTATACATGAAAGAAGGCTTTTGGCAGAACAGAAGGTTCTTCAAAAATTGCTGTAGTTTGTAGCAAGTATAAGTGATATAACTATTTGGTTTGTGGGTGATTTTGTGAAATCTTTGTGAAATGGCTTTAGCAGTATGTGATACTAGCCCTTAGCAAAAGTCATCCTAAAATATACTTAAAGCCTCAGACAAAATTACTTTTGCATGGGGCAGAAGCAAGGAGTGGGAAGGGGTGCAGGAGAATTTGCGTGGCAAGCGAAAACAACTTGCCTAAAAACCTATCCTGCAGAGCTAAAAGAATCTAATTTATCAAGATCCTGTGCAACAACAAAGAACCTATACAGTAATTTAAGTCAAGGCTTTAAGTAAAATGAATGTGCTAATATAGTCTGTGGAAATTAACATGAAGGCAAACATTCTTCAGACTTTCAAACAATACAACATCCAGATCCTAAAAGTCTATGAGAAAGAAATTACTTAGTTTCCCATTTCAGTTTTGTAATTACAAGCTGATCTAGTATTATAGTTGCTTAATATAATATTATGAAATATTACTGTAACATGTAAATGTTTATATGTAAATATGTAATTTCATTTATTCTGCAGTAATTTAATCAGTGGGAAAAAATCTGCAAAAATCTGTCAGTGTTTGACAAAAAGCTCATCTGTAATTGAGACTGTACATGTTTGTGAATTCCAGTTACTAAACCTTCAACAGAGAAGTATCTGAAACATATTAATCTTCTAACAATGAAAACAAAAAAAATAAAGTCTCAGAGTATCACAGGGTATTTAATCTATTCAGTTACCCTGACATTCTACAAATACGAAATACAGTCTGCAAATACAGTTGGAAGACCAGACTTCAGTGGACTCTCTTTCACAAAAAGCCTTTCTCCTGCTGGGCAGGTTAGGTTCTATAATAATCCCTGTATGCTTGTCTTGGAGAAGTAATAACTTAAGGTTCTTCCCAGCTTTACATAAGAATATTCAAGTAAACCAAGGCCACTGGTTTTATTGCTAAAGTGAATTTCATACTTCTTAGGAACTTTAAATGACAAAGGCTAGGAAAGTAGAAATATAAAACACAACTCAACTGCACAACTATACTAAAGTGGCAGAGCTCTCTTCTTTTTATATTTTTCACACAACACTACCAATCAAAATAATAGTTTAGCAATAAACAGAATTAGAGCTGAAGTGTATTTTGGAGTAAGCCTGGGAAGTATGCAAAGGATGAAAAACAGAAATAGTCAGACAACTAAGCTAAGATTGTTTTGCTGTCTTCACCGGAGGAAGTGATAATTTGGTAAGAATTCAGAAACTGAAAAAGCATATTACCTAGAAGCCAATGAACTTAAAAGTTGGACTGAAAAAAACCCTACAACTTTACAGGCAGGATGTATTCAACTGTACCACTGACTTGCAAATATTCATATTTTTGGAGGTTTCTTCTGCATTTTGTAGTAAAAGTTCCACAGTAAAAACTTAAAAAAAATATTCCTTGAAATCAGAAACTGTAGGATTTTGGGATTTTTTGCAGCCATGGCAGAAACTGTCATTGAGTTTTTGCTTACTTTTGACAATCATTTATCCCTGTAGAACACTTTCTTAAAAAACCTCATGTATCTGCTAAGCATAAGAGAAGAGCACTATTACTAACAACCTTTAAAGAAATATTCTAAATACAAAATATTAAGCAAATATTTTTTTTTAATTCAGAATTCTGTCAATAAGATCAGAATAACATATGTATAAATATTATAAGTAAATACACTTTCAAATTAACAATGTAGTAAAATGGTTTACACAAACCAATCCTGTAATTTATGATAACAAATTCAGCATGAGAAAGCAACCTACATTATTAACTCAAGGAGATGAGTTCACGTACAGATGAGCTGACTATGCAATAGGTTAGAATTGTAACTTGGTGACTTTAGGTACACTGTTGCAGAGTAGTCATCATGTTTCCACATGGGCATTCACTGCCTCTGGAGGTGTACACTAGGTAGCACACTAGGTAGCACAGATTGGCCTGAGGACACTAGAAAGCCAGCCATGGATGTTCCCAGCCTGTCCCAAAAATTAATCCTAGTGGATTCAGCTGCAGCAGTTTGAGACATTACCACTCAGATGCCAGTACTGAACCTACTATATTCACAATCCACAGTGCTATCTCCAAAGTAAGAATAATTGGGATTTTATTAATCTATTTGCACTTAACTGCCTGAGTTACCTGGAGATACAGCAGCCACGGGAGAAGGGTTGTAAGTAGGACAGGTAGAAAGCTTATCTTAAACCACTGCAGATATACTCAGTAAGAGCTTCTTTGACTAAAGCTTATTGTGGCCTACAGTGAACTATGTGCTTCATGATGCTCTAAAGATCCAGTGACAGAAGTGAATCACCAAATAAAGCACTTTGTTGATGAAGTTAAACAGCAAACCATTAAAAGATGTTTACTCTAGTCTCAACATTTTTTCCAATCTTCAAAAACACTAACTCAAACCATAAGGAAACAATCACACATACACACAGATCTGAACAACTTTGCTTATAAATGATACATTAAGGTGACCTTTTATTACCAAATGATTTTATTAAAGTAGATAAAGAATAACTAAAGTGTTTAACAAGACATTTTACTTGCTCCCCCCACTTTTAATTTCTCCTAGATCAAGTTTAGTAACGATTGAAAACATCAGCAAGGCAGCAAATGTAGAAAATGATCAGACAGATCTTCCAATACTTATAGAACAATACTCAAGATGCTGAACTTCTAAAAAAATGAATCCTGGCACTTTCTGACACAGAAAGTGACAAACGCAGCTTCATCAGCTGTAAGTAACTGTCATGCTCTAGGTATGCAATTGTTCTTTTGCAGGGCTAGATGTGCTACAGGAAAGGGCAATTGCACAGCATATTAGTAACAAGCAAATCACTGACTGAGATTTGTAACTTCTGCTAAAAAAAAAAAAAAAAAAAGAGGTGACAGGAAGATTTCCACCTATCTTAACATCCAGTTAGTCAGCAAAATACTCCCTGAAGGCTTGTATTACGAGGTATGTTTGGAAGTCCTCCCTATTCAAACATATTTTCAGCTGCTGTGAAACGAGTTAGAAAGGTACACAAGGAGATACTCCTTATCTGTTAAAGCTTTGAAATTTTCTCCACTACTCTTCAACCTGATTTTCTTGCTTGAAAGTATTTGCATGTAATTTTCTTTTCAAGAGAAGAGAAAATCCAGACTAAATCTTAGAAAGACAAATATTCTCAAAACAAGACTCACGTGTAGAGCAGGACCCCTCCCGCTCCCTCTCCTTTATTCCAGATTCTGACAAATGTTTTTAAATGTCAAAGTGAAAGTCTCGTTAACTGTTTACTAGTCATCACTTCTGGCTACGTAGTTCTTATAAAAACAGATTACAGGAGCCATTACACACTTGGTCTCTTTGCATCTGTATGACCACATGTCTACTTTATGAATCCTCTTTGAAAGCTGTTTTGTTGGTGTTTTTTAATCAGTGACCAAAGCTCTACTTTCCTCAGAAAGCAGGTGAAATTTGGCAGTACTTGTACATCAACATACAACAGATAACTTTTTATGGGATTTAGAACCCCAGTTTGATTGTCAGGTTCGCAAAAATCTAAAAACTGAGTTGGAACGTAAAATAATCCCTACTAAATTAATGATTTAAGAGATCTCAGTAGTGAGACATCAATTTCAGCCATTTCTCTTAGATGTAGATTTTTAAAGAGATGAATTGCCTAGGCTAACTGTGAAAGTGTCAGCACAAGCTATAATTTTGCAACTATGGTTACTTCCCTCAGACTACACAGAGTCAGTTTTTAAACCTCACTCTACAATCTGGTCTACAATCACGTCAAAATAACTTAGCAAGATAATTACTTTAGGAAACCACAGATTAAGCTTAATTGCACTACACAAAGTCATCATAAAATAAAAGATACTAAAAATAGTGAAGTAGCAGCTGCACCATCAACATACCTTTGTACTTGTTCACATGATTATGCAACAATTAAAATAAGCAACCATTAAAAAAATAATGCCTAGAAACCTTAACACTTTCCTCCTCTTAGTTTTCATGTTAAGAGGACAAGAAAAAATTAAATGCAATCTACTACTTGCTCAGTGGGCTGATGTAGCAAAGGGCTAGAAACCATGAAGTGAAACTGAGTGAATCCTGGAACTTTATTACACGCAGCACCTAGGAAAGAAAAAAAAAAAAAAAAGTATAATTTGCTACATTTAGGATTAGTATCTTTCTCATTGTACTTTATCATCTAAAGACCAAATTACTAATTCTACTACAATGGTGTAATTATTCTTTTACAATTTGTTTAACCCAAGACATCTTGAAAGTAATTTTTAAGTAAAAAGACAGTGCTGGTGAGTGCTGAAGTGCAATCAATAACTTTATAACAAAATTCAAAACAATAATGTAAGTTAGGAAAATATATCTCTCTCTTTCAATCCTGATTAATGTAATGAGTTCCTCCAACACTAATCTCTTAAACACAGAACTATGGGAAATAAGAGATCAAAGAACAGCAATAGGCAGTCTAACTAAATAAGCCATGTTGATTAGCAAATTGTATTTCCTACTGATCTAAGAGTTCACTAATGAGATGCCTGGCATAATGACTGATCTCAGATTTCTTTGAAGCTATGCTTAACATTCACATTCTTCCTGCCTTATGCCATATCTAGGGAAGGCATAAACATTTTTTTTAAACCTTCAAAATAATCATATACAGTCCAGGAAAACACATGAAGGTTGTAAATATTTTTTGATTTTTACTAAGGCTTGCATAACTTTTGCAAAAGTCTAAGACATCTAAATGCAGAGAAAAAATTAAAATATCTAAAGTCCACAGTAGGACATAATTGTCATACCAGCAGCATTTGATATTATGAATGGTCAGTATTGCTGCAGTGCTCAATGAATAATTAAAGATTTCTTTTTTAAAATCCACCTTCAGTTTTTTACTTCTGTGACCTACTTAGGGTCAAAAGCTCTGTCTGGTAAGCTAAATACATACCATAACTTCCAGTTGTATTGGCACATATAACAGCACCAAAGAATTTTGGGTAATACTTCCGGATTCTGGAGATAACTTTCTGGCAGGCTACCATTGGGTCTGCTCCCATCCTCATATACTCCACAGCTTGATAACTGAAAAAAACCCAACACAACCCAACATCCAGTTAGCCACACTTAGGTTATATATATATTCTAAAATACTACTGAGAGACCATGATTTCTTTGAATATTGGAACTGCATTGTAAATAATCTTCAGCCAAACTTCATATTGGCAATTATTACTCAACTTCTACATTAAAAGTAATTAGAAACAGGACTAAAACAGACTGCAAGATGTCATTAATGCCATCCATAGTTCTGAAGTAGCACCAAACCTGTGATAACTGTGATCATTTGCAGTAGAAGAGGCTAAGCAAAATATAAGTTAAAGAAGTGCAAATAAACAGTTAAAGAGTTAATGGGTTTTATTTTTCACTGCACGATTAAGTTTGACATTGAAAGTTATTGCTAGTTTTCAAAAAGGCCAACATCAATATAATTTTTTTAAGAAAACTGACCTTGATACTACATTACTGGTAAATTATTGATTTCAGTAAGCACTAATAAATCTTTCATAAATAAATTAAGTTACTAAAAACATCAAAATTGATGGATTTTCTTAATTTCATGCCTATGAATGTACAATGTTTTGGTAAAACTTTTTGCAAGCCAATTAAAAAAAATCACTCTAAATTAATGAGTAATCAAAATTAACTTTCTTTCTATCTACAGTATCATTAGACAAATTACTATAGAAGCATTGCTTGAAATTGATCAACTGCATTTCCAAAATGTCAGAGGCAAAACAATTACTTCTGTTTTCTTTCAGAACCTGAAGATTAATAGATAACCCATAAGTTACAAGCAAACAACACTAGATTTTGTTTTGATGACAGATGCATATACTGAGACCAGTTCTTGCCATACTAAGACCCATCTACAGATAGCATTAAACTATAGATGTTATCGAAGTATCACAGAAGGAAACTTTCCTTGCATTTTGAGACTCCCTATTATCTTTGACTTATTCTAATAATCGAATAGGTTCAAGTTATCTGAAGATAACTATCTGAATATAAAGCTGTATTGCATGGAGGTCTCTTCACTAATCAAAAACTCAGGAACATGTCTCTATCTCAAAGAAGGTGGAGAGAAAATAGAAGCAATTTTGCCCTTTATTTGACATTACCTTCACTTCTGGCAGGTCACTTCTACTGTTTTCATGTGGAGTATCTAAATAGTATGGAATTAGGAAAGATCTGTATCTACAAGGAACATGTGATCAACCATCTAGTCTAAAACGCACTGGTGCCAGCAGAAAATGTTTTAGGCATTACAGCCAAATCCTTCAGGCTGCTAAACTGTAATGTAAGCTTTTATTGATTAACCTCACAGTGCGGCTCAACTCACTACTGCTGTTGATACCTGATACCTCAGGATAATTCAAGAAGTTGTCGATTGCCTTTTATTTCAAGACTGGCTCAGAACAGCTTGACACTTACCGAGGACATTTATAAATATGCAACAGCTGGTAGGCATTCATAACTGCTAGAGTTTCAGAAAAATCACCTGAGTAGTATGAAGGCCATTCTGTACATTCCTTCAAGCACCAATGCCCATTATGTTCAGCATCCACTTCC